AAGTGTCACATCTGATGGTTTTCTTTTCTGTCTCTTCAGGTGTTGATGGTCAGACTCTGACACAATCTGAAGCAGTGGTTAAAAGTCCTGGAGAATCCCACAGACTGACCTGTTCAGCCTCTGGATTCACATTCAGAGGCTATAAGATGAGCTTGGTCAGACAGGCTCCTGGAAAAGGACTGGAGTGGATTGCCTTTATAAGCACATCCAGTACACCAATCTCGTACTCCTCGTCAGTCCAGAGCAGATTCCTTGCTACTAATGTTTGCAGACTTTACAAAACACTACTTCTATTTTTATTCAATGCAGCTGATTATATTCTTTGTATCTGTTTGGAGAAACTGTGTCTACATTTGGTTTGAACTCCAAACATACAGTAGAGATCAACACGTGGACAAAACATGTAAAGATTTAAAATATTCCACATGATATGAAGATAGTACATCAACATTATTAATGAGTAATTATATATAATCACATCCACACAATATGAATTAACATAAGAAGAGTAGAAAAGCTCTTTCTAATAGCATTTCCTTATCATCTCTTTTTATTGATTGTTGCTGCTCTCTTTGATAAGATTAATCCTAAAATGAATGAAACCAGTTATTAGTAAACACTTTCAACCAATCTGATCCTACAGTACGATCACATATATTATATCTGTTATCATATGTAAAGCAGAGATGATTTCCAGTCATCTTTTCACTCTGCAGATATAAAAACAGTGAACAGACTCTCCTATTGGCTCCAGTCAGACCATCATTGATGCTTCATATGTTTGATTGTATGCAAACTCAGTGAGCTTCCTTGTTACTCAGCTATAAAAACTTCCCATCAGGCCGTCAGTGGAGTTCACAGCACGTCACTTTCAACATCAACCATGTTTTCTGTAGCTCTGCTGCTGCTGCTGGCAGCTGGATGTGAGTCTGTCTGCATCTGTCAAAGTCAACAGTTCTTTTTCTGCAGTTTAACTTGATCATTTCTAACTAAACATGTTCTCTTTTTAACAGGTGTGAAGTGTGAACAGTTGACACAGCCAGCCTCTGTGACTGTGCAGCCAGGTCAGAGTCTGACCATCACCTGTCAGGTCTCTTATTCTGTTAGCAGCTACCACACAGCCTGGATCAGACAGCCTGCAGGGAAAGGACTGGAGTGGATTGGATTGAGATACACTGGAGACACTTACTACAAAGATTCACTGAAGAACCAGTTCAGTATCGACTTAGACGCCTCCAGAAACAGAGTGACTCTAAACGGACTGAATATGCAGCCTGCAGACACTGCAGTGTATTACTGTGCCAGAGACCCACAGTGACACAATCCATCAGTAGAGCTGAACAAAAACCCCTCAGAGACTGAACACCAGTAACATGAAGCCACCAGAGGAGGAGCCCTCACACCAATAATGATTAACACCAAGCACTGAACCAGGGGAACAGAGCCTTTTCCATTGCTGCCCCTCTCCCTCTGGATCTCTCTCCACAAACACACCTGAGACTTTACGGACCTGCCACAATTCAAATCACTGATAGAAACATTATAAACACTGCTTTAGATTGCTAATGTTTCTTTTTGTACCATTGTTTAAAAGTGTTTTTCTTTAAATGAGACTCTGTAAAACAAATAAATCAAATGTATTATAATTATTTTTATACATATTAAACACCAGTTCACTTTTACAGTAAGGAGAAAAACAGCTGTGAGACATTATGAAAATACCTTTGTTTTCAAAAGAATAACTCAGAATAATCAGGATCACATTCACATTAGTAACTGTGAGATTTTAATACCACTGTTGTTCTCTGATACCCTGAGACCTTGTGACAAAATCCTCCATGAATGTTGAGAACAGAAGACACCATCAAAGAACATGATGGGGATTAACTTCCTGTTAGATGTGAATATTTTTGGTACATGTGATCACAGATGTTACTGTATGTTCCCGAACTGTCAAAAAGTGGAGCTGTGTGTAATTCTGCTTTGTGTTCTCACTGATTGGCTGCCTGAGTTGATATACCGAAAAAAATAAACTAACGATGAACAACTTGAAAGGACACTTGTGTTTAGAATTTAATTCCAAAACTAAAGAAGTGATATCGAAATGAAATTACTTTCTTCTATCTCTGAGGAGGAGTCAATGCAAATCTCCGATGTGTTCCTCCTCTACTTATGTGAGTGCAGAGAGGACGACAGAGAACAGTGGACACACAGTTGAACATGATGGACTATAGGACAGGACTGCTGCTTTTTACTGTCTGCTGGGCAGGTGATGATCATCACTCATCTTTACTCTAAAAAGTCTTCTAAAAGTGTCACATCTGATGGTTTTCTTTTCTGTCTCTTCAGGTGTTGATGGTCAGACTCTGACAGAATCTGAAGCAGTGGTTAAAAGGCCTGGAGAATCCCACAGACTGACCTGTTCAGCCTCTGGATTCACATTCAGCAGCTACCGTATGAACTGGGTCAGACAGGCTCCTGGAAAAGGACTGGAGTGGATCGCTACTATTAGTAATGGTGGTGGTAGCAGCCAATCCTACTCTAATTCAGTCAAAAGCCGGTTCACCATCTCCAGAGACGACAGCAGACAGCAGCTGTATCTGCAGATGAACAGTCTGAAGACTGCAGACACTGCAGTGTATTACTGTGCCAGAGACCCACAGTGACACAACCCATCAGTAGAGCTGAACAAAAACTACTTCCTCTTTTTACCACCATCACAATATTTCTTGTGATTCACAATCAACTATGAAAATTCTGAGTGTTGAACAAATACTTATCAAGTCATCAACATCAATTGTTTTTTTAAAACACAGTTTCTCAATTAATGGAAGTTTAAGTTTTAGCCCCCTCTTACTTCAGTGACATGGAAGAAACATTCAAATTGTGAATGTAGACAAGAACTAATTAATATAAAATATATAGAGCAGCAGTTAAATCTACAGCATCTCTATGATACATCCTAGAAGTAATCATTCTGTAGTGAACTATTTAGATGTGCATGCTTGGGGAATGTAAACTGCAGTTAGAAGCAGGGCCGTCCCTGGCCAAATTGGGGCCCTAAGCAGAATTTTATTTTGAGGGCCCCCCCATCACAACATGACTGTATCACGAAATGCCATTTAGGTGTACAACCTTTATTAGTCGGAAGAAATCAAATGAATAGCCTCTATCAACAATGGAACAGGCCTTTTACAGATGCACACGTCTGCATTTTCTGGATGCAAAGTCATCAATGAGGTCATCATATGACAGCTGCTGTGCCTTAAAAGGCCCTCGGCGCACAAATTCAACCCGGTCGATGTCTGATAGGTGTGCTGGCCACAGAGCAGGATCAACTGGTTGTGCACTTGGAGTAGTGATAGTAGCATATTTAGCTGAAGAGATGTTGCTTGATGGCCCTGGTGATATGTTGGGTGCTGCTGCATTTGTATCTGTTGACATGGTGCTTGATGGCCCTTGTGACGTACTGGGCGCTGGCTCCGTGTCACCCTTAGTAACAAACTTCAGCATTGACGCTGTTATGACAAGAAATCCATCATACAAGCAGATTATTAAGATTTGTTTTGGTCTTCATGGTAAATTACACAATGAAATTAATGTAAATACTAGCCTCACAAAGATTAAAATGCAATTAATGCAAATTAATGCAGCTATGCAACAGGTTGGATCAGACAGCGTGAAGGGAAACCGATGGACTGGATCTCTCATCAGTGGGGTGGTGGAAACTTGTATCAAAATAATGCTCTGAAGAACAAGTTCAGCTACAGCAGAGACACGTCTGCTGGAACAGTGACTCTTACAGGACAGAGTCTGCAGCCTGAAGACACTGCTGTGTATTACTGTGTGAGAGACCCACAGTGAGAGACAATAACAGGAGAGTCGTACAAAAACTACTTCCTCTGTTTACAACCATCACCGGGAACATTCAGCTGTCTCAACATCAAATTATAAAAAATGTTTGTGAATATGTGTCAGAAATACAAAAATCAAAATGTGATTGACTCAATATCAGACTCCTACATCATGGTCCGGAGTTATTACTGGACTGTGATTGGCCGCAGGGTGTCAAATAATTTCTAACTTTGACAGTTTCTTCTCCAAGTTGTCTGTGAGTTCATGATAATGGACATTTTGTTTAACAATTCTTAAACACACTCAGATGCAGAGGAAAGTCCAGGACACAAAAAACTGATAGTAAGAAAAAGTTTTCTACTCAAATGTTTGTAGGTCAAACACAGAGAGGCAGTCAGCGAGGGCAGAAAAATCCAACGAGGGCAAATCCACAAAATCCAAACAAGTTCAAAACCGGGAAAAGCAAACAGGGAAAATAAGGCTGGAAAGCATGAACACACTCAGGAGACGATGACAATCTGTCAGAGGGCTGGTAGAAACACAGGGGTGAATATACAGGGACTTATTGCAGGTGAGACACAGGTGTGTTGGACAAAAGGAGGGAAACCAAACAATTGCAGGAAGATGGGCTACATATTATTCACAAGCAGCAGATAACAACATAAAACAGGAAGTGAACACAGAACAAAAGAAAACAAAATGGCTGGACTAACAGAATATCACAAATTTTGATAAAGAAGCTGCAGAATTATCCAGTTAGCTTACAGGTGTATTTCAGTTTACTGGAACAGCAGACGCAATTATTCCTGAGCATCGGCTGACAGCATGTTTAAAGGAGGGTCACTACACACACACACACACACAAACACACACACACACACACACACACACACACGGATGGATGTGAAAAAAACACGGAAAATCAAATCTGATCTGAAAGAAATAATGACGGACGAAAGTTTCAGAGTCACTCTGCAGATATAAAAACAGTGAACAGACTCTCCTATTGGCTCCAGTCAGACCATCATTGATGCTTCATATGTTTGATTGTATGCAAACTCAGTGAGCTTCCTTGTTACTCAGCTATAAAAACTTCCCATCAGGCCGTCAGTGGAGTTCACAGCACGTCACTTTCAACATCAACCATGTTTTCTGTAGCTCTGCTGCTGCTGCTGGCAGCTGGATGTGAGTCTGTCTGCATCTGTCAAAGTCAACAGTTCTTCTTCTGCAGTTTAACTTGATCATTTCTAACTAAACATGTTCTCTTTTTAACAGGTGTGAAGTGTGAACAGTTGACACAGCCAGCCTCTGTGACTGTGCAGCCAGGTCAGAGTCTGACCATCACCTGTCAGGTCTCTTATTCTGTTAGTGGCTACTGGACAGCCTGGATCAGACAGCCTGCAGGGAAAGGACTGGAGTGGATCGGTAGCGGAGCTGGATCCACCAGATTCTACAAAGATTCACTGAAGAACCAGTTCAGTATCGACTTAGACGCCTCTAACAACAGAGTGACTCTAAACGGACTGAATATGCAGCCTGCAGACACTGCAGTGTATTACTGTGCCAGAGACCCACAGTGACACAATCCATCAGTAGAGCTGAACAAAAACTACTTCCTCTTTTTACCACCATCACAATATTTCTTGTGATTCACAATCAAATATGAAAATTCTGAGTGTTTAACAAATACTTATCAAGTCATCAACTTCAATTGTTTTTTTAAAAACACAGTTTCTCAATAAATGGAAGTTTAAGTTTTAGCCCCCTTACTTCAGTGACATGGAAGAAACATTCAAATTGTGAATGTAGACAAGAACTAATTAATATAAAATATATAGAGCAGCAGTTAAATCTACAGCATCTCTATGATACATCCTAGAAGTAATCATTCTGTAGTGAACTTTTTAGATGTGCATGCTTGGGGAATGTAAACTGCAGCAACAAGGAGAGTTTTATAACTTCATGTGTTGAAATCTTACCATGAAAGACTTCTGACATGTGGTTAATAATATCCATCAAGCTTTACTGTTTCTGAGCACCAAGTGTCATTAATGAAAAACACAGTTTCTCCCCTTGTGAACACTTGTTCCTTAAAGCCACCAGAGGAGGAGCTCTCACACAACAAATGATTTCAACTTCATTTGACTGTAACAGTAAAGAGAGAGAGAGAAACAGTCTTAAGGCTTTATTAGATCTTCTAATAAATGTGTCACTTAAATATTGTTTCAATCTCTATATCTGATTAATTGAGAGTTTAGAGTAATACTCAATTTTACCAGGATTTTAAAATATTTGAATGAACGTAGTCGGCTGATTTACCATCCTGTGTATGTAAATTAGTCTCCTCTTGTTGCCGTATAAGAAAGTCCACTGGGTGTGTTAATGCATCAAGTTCTCACATCAGATCATCTTCATCATCAGTCATGTTCTCTGCAGCTCTGATTCTGCTGCTGAGCGTTGGATCCTGTAAGGATATTTTCACCTGTTTAGAAACAACTCATAATCAGATGAGTGATGGAGATAATGATGATTTGTGTTTCCACAGGTGTGCACTGTATTGATCTCATCACACCAGGATCAATGGTCGTGCAGCCTGGACAGTCTCTGACCCTCACCTGTCAGGTCTCTGGTTACTCTCTGACTGATGACAGCTATGCAACAGGTTGGATCAGACAGCCAGTCTGAAAAGGACTGGAGTGGATTGGAATGAGTTTTTGGATCGACCACACTCTACAAAGATTCACTGAAGAATCAGTTCAGTATCAACTTAGACGCCTCCAGAAAAACAACGACTCTAAACGGACTGAATATGCAGCCTGCAGACACTGCAGTGTATTACTGTGCCAGAGAGCCACAGTGACACAATCCATCAGTAGAGCTGAACAAAAACCTCTCAGAGCCTGAACACCAGTAACATGAAGCCACCAGAGGAGGAGCCCTCACACCAATAATGATCATATCACAAGTTCAGTGACACAAACAGTCAATAGATAAAGTGAGCAACTGGCAATAAAATGAGGAACTGATGCAAAAAAGATTTCTAATCCTTTTGGTAGTATGAGATGAAAAGATCATCACATGAGAGGACAAGTCAACCTCACTGTCTTACACCTTTGGGAAACAGACTGCAGAGAGAATGACAAATGTTTAAGTTTCACTGCAGCTTTTGTTTGATCCAAGGTAACAGAGTTCATCTGTGTGACTTTTAAGAAAACACAACAGGTATTCATGGTGTACCCAGATTTAGAAAAAGTGAAATCTCAATGACTTAAATCAAATATATTTGGCTGCTGTTCCAACTCCTGCATCATTGATTACGTATAAAAAATAAAAATGTCCGATTATCAAGTTAATCTCTGATTTCACTCTACTGGCATGATACAACTGATGACCTTTTAATTTAAAGTATCCAAGACAGAAGTCAAAAGTTATTTCTCTCTGAGGAGGAGTAAATGCAAATCTCTGATGTGTTCCTCCTCTACTTATGTGAGAGCAGAGAGGACGACAGAGAACAGTGGACACACAGTTGAACATGATGGACTATAGGACAGGACTGCTGCTTTTTACTGTCTGCTGGGCAGGTGATGATCATCACTCATCTTTACTCTAAAAAGTCTTCTGAAAGTGTCACATCTGATGGTTTTCTTTTCTGTCTCTTCAGGTGTTGATGGTCAGACTCTGACAGAATCTGAAGCAGTGGTTAAAAGGCCTGGAGAATCCCACAGACTGACCTGTTCAGCCTCTGGATTCACATTCAGCAGCTACTATATGGCTTGGGTCAGACAGGCTCCTGGAAAAGGACTGGAGTGGATTGCTGAAATTAGTAGTGGTAGTGGTAGCATCTACTCTAATTCAGTCAAAAGCCGGTTCACCATCTCCAGAGACAACAGCAGACAGCAGGTGTATCTGCAGATGAACAGTCTGAAGACTGAAGACACTGCAGTGTATTACTGTGCCAGAGAGCCACAGTGACACAACCCATCAGTAGAGCTGAACAAAAACTACTTCCTCTTTTTATCACCATCACAATATTTCATGTTATTCACAATCATTTTTGAAAATTCTGAGTGTTGAACAAATACTTATCAAGTCATCAACTTCAATTGTTTTTTTAAAACACAGTTTCTCAATAAATGCAAGTTTAAGTTTTAGCCCCCTCTTACTTCAGTGACATGGAAGACACATTCCACATGATATAAAGATAGTACACCAACATTACTATCAGATTGACTAAAGCTAAACACTCTTGCTGCTCAATACAATTAAATCTGTAGTTAAAACTTTCCCTTCTTCAATATAAGTTGCTTGATTGAGTGATTCTTTGAAACTGAAGTGTGTCTTTGTGTTAATCATGAGCACCGACTGCAGCTCTGTTAATATTTCGATGAACAGTCTGTAAACACTGAAAACTTTTAATCTGTTTTTTTTATACAAACCAGTGTTTAACATTTGAATAAACAGAATATTACCCAGTGGTATGTTGGATTTGCTGACAGTAAACAGTTAATATCAGAAAGACAGTAGGTTGGTTTAAATAATTGTATTAAATAGAATAAATAAAACTTCTGAAGATTAACATCCTTTCTGTTGCTCTTTTGGTTTTCATGGATGCAAACCATCATTATTGCAGTGCTCCATTTCCTCAGAATATTTCACAATATCCATCATTCATTTTAATACTAAGAATAATAACAGATCCTTTTTGTTTCTAAGTTACGTTTTCATTGTTTATTATGATGCTGTTGTCCTCAAGCTTCAATGTTTTACAGTAAAAACCAAATGAACTGATGTTTGGTTTCTTTAAATGATTACAGACCAACTTTGCACTTTAATTAAAATATAAATAAATCAGTGATATTTCTCAGGCATGTTTGTACATGTTTGTATGTATAGACCATCACTGATGTTTCAAATGTTTGATTGTAAGCAAACTCTGACAATCTCTTTCTGGGGGTATCAAGATGATGAGTGATTGGACCCCAAATGATTCCACGCACAGCTCAAAAAGGATAATTTTAGAATCAATGTGTTTATATTGGTGAACAACATTCACTTTCATTTGTATTGAGTATTAGATTTTGGTCCACACCAGAAGATTCCATGTTTGTTTTGTTTAATTTATTTTTACTTTTTAACATTGGAAGGTAAAAGTTAGACATTGTTTTCAGTTTGGGAAGTTGTTGATCCATCTAATTTAGAATTGATCTTTTTTCTTTTTCTTTCAAATATTCTTAATATAACTATGACAGAGTTCAGACAGCTCAGGAGTCACTCCCATGTTATCCGGATGCAAATGTTCAGTGTGTGCAGAGTACTTCAGTGCGGCTAAATGCTCTCGTACTTCTGTGGAGCATCAGAGGTCAGATCTGCAGCCTCAGGATGATGAACACACTCACTCTGCTGCTGGCTGCTCTCTCTCTGCCCTGTGAGTTCTCCTGCTTCTTCTCATTTAATCTTTTATCAGACAACTTCCACTGATGATCGGTGAGTGATACCAGAGAACGCCACACATGTGAGCATCTCACTTTTTCTCTTCTTTCATCTGATCAGGTTGCACAAGTCAGAGTATGGAGTCCATGCCTTCCAGTTCAGTCATGAAAAGGCCCGGGGAGACACTCAGTCTGTCCTGCAGGGGATCAGGCTTCACTTTCAACTGCTGTGTTATGAGCTGGATGAGACAACCTGCAGGAAAAGAACGGAAACGGCTATTCCAACCCAAGCAAGAACACTTATGCCAGCAGTGCGCGAGGCCGTGTAGAAATCAGCAGAGATGATAGCACAAGCATGGTGTATCTGAGACTGT